TGCTTAATCATGTTGTTTTTAGCTGAAAGCCAGTTTTGATAATGAGAAGATCTATTATTATATGAAGTATGACAATCAGTCCTTGAATAAGTGCTTAAAATTTGAGAACAAACAAATAAATGAAAAAAATTATGCTGAGACGATTTACTTTTTTAATCTAAAAATTTTGAAAGAGAAAATTTTAGGGCCTAGGCCAGATATTATGATTCATTGTGTTGAAATTACAACTTTCACTCTTCTTTTTAACTGCAAAATAAAATATTCTACAGTGTCACATTTCACGTCAAGTTATTTTATGATGATTATAGTGAAAGATTTGTTGGGTTAAAATAGTGTTTGAGTGACGCCAGTTACACCATAATAGTTGGGAGAGAATGGCTGGATGACTATGGTTGAACGATAATAATCAGAAGACTATAGTTGAGTGATGACAGACAGGCATAGTAGTTGGATGACAATAATTATGTTTTCACTCTTCTTTTTAACTGCAAAATAAAATATTCTAAAGTGTCACATTTCACGTCAAGTTATTTTATGATGATTATAGTGAAAGATTTGTTGGGTTAAAATAGTGTTTGAGTGACGCCAGTTACACCATAATAGTTGGGAGAGAATGGCTGGATGACTATGGTTGAACGATAATAATCAGAAGACTATAGTTGAGTGATGACAGACAGGCATAGTAGTTGGATGACAATAATTATGTAATGGTTGTCTAAGAATGATAAAAAAAAAGAAAAATTTGACTAGAAAATGCAACTAGTTGTTGAGTCGTCAATTTTGCATGTTGTGTCGAGCTATAATGTTCTGAAGATCTTCAAAGTCTCTTCAAACTCAAGTCCAGGTTCCCATCATGCAAAAAATTTATATATATTTATAATTTTTAAAATTTCTATCTCAACATAATTGGACTCTTCAGAAATAACTGAGAGGCTATCCTAAGTTGCAACCCTGTCTTTGTACATATTCTTTTAATTGAATGTTACATCACTGTTTTTAATAAATTTCTATTATGATAATCTCAGAACTTGTATCCATACTCATATGAGTCATATCCAATAAGGATGCACTTGATAAATTTTGACTCAAGTTTACACCTGAATCCTTCATCAACATGTACATATGCCACCCAAATACTTTTATATAAGATGGATTTATCTCCTTATCACTCCAAACTTCTTCAGATAAGACTTTCTCCAAAGATACTGATGAACTATGGTTTAATCAGATAAATAATAGTATTCATTACTTCAATCCAAAACTATTTTGGAAAGTCTGCATGTGGTCTCATGGTCCTGGCAAGCTCCATAATTATTTTATTCATATGCTCAACCACATCATTTTGTTGTGATGTCACGATACTCGTCCTCATTATCTGATCCGAGACACTTCAGATTCAAGCTCGTCTCATTTTCTATCAAATTCTTTCACTTCTTAAGCACTTCAAATACGCCATATTTTTGCTTTAAGAAGTAAATCTATATCTTTATAGATGATTGTCAATAAACAAGACAAAATAGTGGGATCCTTCAATAGACTAAACTGGAGTAGGACCTCATACATCGGTATATACTAACTCCAGCTTCCTTGACTTCACCGCTAACTCACTTTTAAAGAAAGTAACTCTTATGCTTGGCATATATGCAATCTTCACAGAAATCTAAATCTATTACTTTCAAACCATGAATTTTATTCTGTCAAAGTAAGGACTTCATACATTTCTTGCTCATATGGTCAAACCTGCGATACCACAAACCTATATCCACCTTGGTTCCCGTCACATAAATAAAATTCATCAATTCATTGATTAAGTATAGGGTGCCTTCAATGTTGTCCCGAGCCATACCCCCTGAAAACCTTTATGGATCACCTGTGAAAGTGCACATGAATCCTAATTTTATCAGCTAGCTCACAAAGATGAGATTTCTCTTCAGACTTGGAGCAAGTTGAACTTCAATGAGTTTCTAGACTGTTCCACTTGACATCTTGATATCCACATCACCCTTTTCTACAATATTGCAGGCTTTGTTGTCTCCCTGATAACCCTTCCCTAGATCACTTTGAGTGTGATTTCTAAATAACTCTTCATTGAGGAATGTGTGAAAAGAGGCACATGAATCTACTATCCAAGATTCAATACTGATTAAGGATGACACTAGGGAGTCAGCTTGAATTTTGCTAGTGGAGATATTTGTAGAGAGATTCATTTGTTATCTTCCACCTCCATCTTTCTTTGGAGCTTTACAATCATCCTTGAAATATCTTTTCTTTTCATAATTCCAATATTCTCCTCTGTCATTTCTTCTGCATGACTTAGACTTTCCTTTTCTGGACATGAATCTGTCTTTGCCTAAATTCTTGTATAGATTCATTCCTTTATTTTCACATTCAAGCAGAACCTAAAGATTAACCATTTCACTGAATTTCTGTGAAGTATTTCATTCAGCAACAGCCCCACAATGTCATCAAAGTTTAACTTCGTATTCCCAAAAGAGTTGCTTATTGTCTTGACCAAGCCATCCCAACTATCTGGTAATGAAGCCAATATTAATAGTGTCCTGACTTTGTCATCAAACTTAATCCCTACAAAACACATCTGACTTCTTACTATTTTGAAAATGTTTAGATGTTTTGCCACTGAACCATCTTTTACTAACTTCATATTGATAATCTCTTCATAAAAAAAAAACTATATTTGAAGCAGAATTTTTTTGTATATCTTTGTTAAGGTCGCCATGAGATCAACCGTGATTTATGATTTACTATATGCAATGTAGCCTAAGAGAAAAGTGATAAACAAATCAAACAAAAGATTGTTCGATTCAGCACCTCTCATCCCTCCATAGTCATAAACCCAGGCTTCTTGGTGCTACATGTAGTGGAAAATATAGTTTTTTTTTTTTTTGATACAACAAATTCTCCATTTGCATCCTCCAGAACATGAGGTTAGTCCCATTGAACTTCTTCAATTTATCTTTTGCTTCTTCGGCCATTGCTCCCACTTGAATCAAACATTTCGCTCTGATACCACTTTCCTGGGATGGAAACTTTATACTTCTACTAGGGCTTCGATCAAATTATAAATCAATACCACATTGTGGGATAGAATCACACTAATTCAAGAAAATCAAAACCAAATAATTGAATGGAAGCACAATAAAAAATATTCCAGAAAAACACGAGAATTTAACGTAAAAAAACCCGAGAAAAAAAAAACCATGAAACCACACCATCAATAAATTTTCACTATAAAATTCATAAATGTGCAAATACTCACTAAGATCACTTCTCTATAATCGTTGGAACTTACATAATATTACTCCAAACTCTTCTTCTCAATCTCGTAACTGAAAAGCACACTGAAATCCTTCTCTCCGGCACTACACGAGAACTCTTGTTGAAATACCGCATGCCAGAGACAATCATCCCTCGTCGCTCGAATGGAGGATTTAAACTAAAATGGGGGAGTAATTGTACGCGCTCATGCCACTCATTGACACGGGAATCTCACACCCTCTCTAATAGGGTGCATAGGTGCCCAATAGACGTCGTGGGGGCATTGCAGACACCGATGCGAGTGAATCGCACCCTCTATAAGTGTAGGTGTGTCACCCTGGCGCTGGTGCATTGCGCCCAAAATACTTCTACTGCTTGCCCGACCTCCTTGTGGCTGTGGATGCTCTTCCAGGTTCCACACCTCAAACATAGACCTTGCGCCCCGAAATACTTCTACTGCTTGCCCGACTTCCTTGCAGTTGTGGATGCTCTTCCAAGTTCAACACCTCAAACATAAACCTATTATCTTATAATTTTTCAAGATACTTGAGTGTATCATCTATAGAAAAGTTTCTAGATCCTTGTTTATGCTATTTAAGCTTAAATTTATATAGTGATTCAATCGTGATTTATTTTTCGATCACCTACTGCAATAGTTGAATTAAATTTTTATTTTGGTGGACAACTTGATAAGTAAAATTGGATTTATATGCCATACATCTGAAGGCGCAGACCCGCCAAAAAAAATGGCAGGGAGAAAGTTTTGTCAAACCAAGCTCAGTGAGAGCTCATCAGACCTGGCTCATCACGAACTTGCCAGCCTAGTTCATGATAAAAGTTTGCTAGTTGAAATCGGAGATGGAATCACCAATCTGGATCTAAGAGAATTCTTTCTATCGAGTTTAAGGTGTTGACCAGCCAGATTTTATTACCCCGTGCACCAAATTCAATAGATCAATAGAATTAGAATGACTATCTAAGACAAGAGACCGGTAGTCCAAAGTCCATATTGCGGCCAAATGCCTTTAATATTTATTTGTATTTTTTCACATATATTGCCCATTTCATAATTGTTCCTATGGCGCTTGAGACCCCAAACTCTTATAACCCCCACTTTGTAGCTATAGTTTCTGCAGCCTTCTCTAGTAAATTTGCTTTGTCTGATTACATCTCTCTTCTCTGCCCTTCACCATTCCTTGAACTGACATGGTTTGAGAGTGAGCCATGGACAAAGCATGATCCAACATATGGTTTAGTAATTATATTTATGGACTAATATTATTGAAATCACATGTTATTATTATTAGAATTATTTTTCAACTTTCTGCTTGCATATTCCGATTAAATACCTACAACTTTCTTCTTAAACTTCATGGATAAATTATGACAAATACTACGTAAATTCTATATCTTATTTTGTAGAAGGCTCTAAAGCCGTTTAGTGCTGGGCTTCAAAAGCATGTTTCTTTTTGAACGGGAAATGAAAAAAAAAAGAGGATTTCCCACTATTATGGTCATTGGATTTACCTTACAGAAGATATTGACATTTCTGTGCTTAATTTTACGCCCAATACTTTGCGTAAAAGCATTATATCTAAAGTTATATGGTCACAGTCTCCTACTCTACATTTTTGATTGCTTGGAGAAAACTGCCATCATCAAATATATGATGGTGATGATAAGATTCTCCGAAAGAATAAGAAAATTTTTTTTTCTAACGTGCAGTAGTATCTATTTAGTAATGTTGGCAATATTGATCATTTGATTGGAGTAAATTTACATGAGCACTGATAGCCTTAGCTCACACAACACATGGCTTTAATGACAACTATGTTTAATCAAACTCACACATACAGCTCATAATCTTATCATAACTAACCCACAGAAATAAGATAACTCATAAAATCCCCATATAAAGCACACAATTGAGCAAATAAATCCATTTTCTATGTGGTATGGAACCTGTAAGAGGAGTAAGAGAGCGACGAATTGCTCCAGCTTTGATGGATGAGCTCCGCCTTGGCGTTCTCCCCAGCAGCTCCAAGAGCAACATGTAAGGGAAAAAGGTGGTCCGGCCATGGATGCGAAATTTTAGCACTTGGAGCCTTCTTATCATAGTGTTTCACATCTTCATGTCTGCAAAAGAAATAGTTGACATCAATTAGGAGTGTTGGAAAGTAGGGAAGACCTAATTCAATTCATCCAGAGTAAATAAAATAAAATAACAGTGCACAAGAATTTTCTTTTAAGTTCATTTATTTAATTATTGCACTTGTTGCCGTTACAGCAAATTTGACTATACTTTTAGTAATGGAGTTTTCCTACCAGAATCTTTCTCATATTACCTGAAGACATCCCATAATATAGAAATCTTTGACTGAGACTGTCTAAAGTGTTTCTTACTACCACAAAAATTAGGCTCCATAACTTAACAAGCGGTGTATATCACAACCTCAAAACCTTACATTAAGAGCCCGCAGATCATAGGAGATCTGTTTCCTTATAATTTTGATGAGATATGTGGAATAGATACTCAATCTCTCTGCCTCTTTGCCAAACCATTCAATAACAAAGGAACGCCTAGATTGAAATTCTCATTCATCCTAAGAATATGATTAGCGAAAAGGCTTTAACATGGTAAGAAAAAAAGTAGATGTTATAATTGCAAAAAGAAAACGAGGTTCTCAAGAAACAGTCTTAAGCCAATGCTTTGCTTCAGTTTGTAAGCCAAATGGGTGTGTAAAGTAACATTCATGGCAAAGCCCCAACTATGTCACAACAAGGACAAGGTGTGTGCAAGCTTTTAATTTCAATTGATCGATTTACAATTAGTCAAATTGAATAAAACTGAAATCTAAAATACAAAAAAACCAAACCGACCAAACTTTTGCTAAAACTAGTATAAACCAAACCAAGATATAATTCCATTTAAGCGGTTCCGTTTGGGCAAACTGAATTCTAATTTCAAATTAAAATTTTATCTCTTTCTTATCACCTCACCATTTTCTTACAATTAAAATTTTCAAATTAACTTGAAATAAACATGTCATATACTCAATTTATTTTCTTTCCAAATAAATTTTATTTCCCAATCTTAATACTATTCAGTTTTTCATTTTCTTTGGTTTAATGGATATTAAAACCGAAAATCGAAAACCGATATCCGAATATTAAAATTTTTAAACCCACAAACTAAATTTTTATTTTAAAACTAAACCAAATCCATCAAATGAGCTCGGTTTGGTTTGGTTTTTCAGTTCAGACCGAATAATGCACACCTATAACAAGAACACCGCATGAAAGTTACAATTAATCAATCCATGACAAAAATAAGAGTTGCACATACCTTCCATCAAGGAGAGATTTTGAAAGCCATTTATCAAACTCTGCAGCCCAATTGGGCGGTGGCACATCATCAGGACCGAGCAACCGAAGGTTATGTGTGGCACTTCCAGATCCAATAATTAGAACACCCTCCTCTCGGAGAGGAGCCAATGCCTTCCCTATATTGTAATGAAATGTTCCATCCTTCTCAGATTGAATGGAAAGTTGGCACACTGGTATGTTGGCTTCTGGATACATAAACATTAATGGAACCCAGGCTCCATGGTCAAGCCCGCGTTTCTTGTCCTCCTGCACACTGCCAAATCCAGCACTTTGAAGCAAACCTTTTACTTTCTTGGCTAGTTCTGGTGCACCTGGTGCAGGATATTTGATCTGGACAACATGGATAAATGCTTGAATATATTACGGTAAATAAATGGAGGAACCCTTGTCAATTTACATCAGCTTAAGTTCTTTATTTAAAAAGAGAGAGTGAGTTAAACGTGTTAGTAAATATTGCAGTCAGACATTTTCATTCAGAGGAGAAATAATATTCATAAGCCCCGCCCAAAACATTAAACTAACATTTTAACCATTCAAAACTTTAAATAGAACATTTTAACCACCCAAAACTTTCACTCAAAGCCATTACTAGTGAATAAAGGAGAGTGGTTGTAATGAAAAAGTTGTTAAAATATTTTATTTAAAGTTTGAGTGGTTAAAATATTATATTCAATGATTTAGGTGGTTGATATGTAATAATCAGGTACATAAAAGGGAACAATGTCCAAGTAAAGCTTTACCAGGACAACATAATGGCCATAGTAATCATAATTCTCCTTTAAAGAACAAAAATACAAGTTGCACAGAACGGTTCTTAGCTCTACATTATTACAGTATGGTTATTATTTTACAGCAAAATAAATGACTAGAGGCTCATGAAAACACGCTAGACTTCTGAGTTTAGGAAGAAAAATCACAGAATGGAGAAGAATTTTCCACAGTCCGCCTAAACCTTTGATACTGTCCAGAAGTATTGCTTTTGTAGCGTTTTATGAGATAAATTTATCATACTATTAGATAGAAACAATTAACACTAATTGTTCAGAATCAGTTCATAAACTCGTAAAACAAAAACAAAAATTTACATGTAAGAGGGAGGGAGAGAGAGAGAGAGAGAGGGGTATAGATTGGATTTTACTGTTTTTGGGGTGTTTGGTAGCACACTTTTAAAAAGATTTACCCATGGATTTAACTTAAATCCAGCCAAACACATAAAAAAACGAAGACTAAATCCAAAAACCGAATTTATTCCCCTTCATCCTTCCTGAAGCCATTCCGTCTTCAAATCCGGATTTAATAAATCTCACAAAGATTCAGATTTAATGGATTTAAGTTGCCGTGCGATCTTCGCTCCCGTCAGGAGCTCGCCGGAAATCCGATTTTGATAAATGCTACTCAAAATAAATCCGACCCTTCAGCCAAACACCCCCTTAGGTGTTATACATGTAAAAATGCAGTTTTGGGTGTGATCAATTTGTAAATTTTTGTGATTTTGATAAATGCTACTCAACATAAATCCGACCCTTCAGCCAAACACCCCCTTTATACATGTAAACATGCAGTTTTGGGTGTGATCAATTTGTAAATTTTTGTCTTTTATGAGATAAATTCATCATACTATTAGATAAAAATACTAATTGTTCATAAATCAGTTCATAAACTCGTAGAACAAAAGACAAAGATTTACATGTAAAACAGAGAGAGAGAGAGAGAGAGAGACAGAGAGAGCAGAGTGTTTGATTGGGTTTTGCTGTTTTAGGTATTGTACAGAGAGAGCAGTGTTTGATTGGGTTTTGCTGTTTTAGGTATTGTACATGTAAATATGCAGTTTCGGGTGTTCGATTTGTAAATTGGGAACTTTTAAGTGCTACGTTCTTAAACCCTCCAAAAGAAGAAGAAGAAAACACATCTAATGAACCATTTCAGCAAAGATGCTTCCCAAACTCATCAATCCCTCAATACTAATCCAACCAACAAAAAATTTCATCCAAAAAAAAAAGAAGAAAATTCTTATTCTACAAACAAAGAGATAAGCAGAATACCGACCTCGTACATAGGTTTAGGGAAACCGTAGAAATCGTAGATGGTATCATTCCGGGCATGGATTGTGTTGACGGCGAGTGCCGGCGTGTCCCAGTGTGCTGAAACCATCAGAATCGCCTTAGGATCCGTCGGGAAAAGCTTAGCTCTCCATGACTCGAGAAAATGTCTCGCCGGCATTCTCTTATCGATCGATAGAGTCGGAGATCCGTGGCTGATGAAAAAGGTATCCATCAGAAGAACTAGAGATTTGGAGAAGGAAATCGCGAGCGATACGAGAGAACGAAGATTGGGGGTTGTTGAGATATGTTTCTCTTTCCTTGTTGTCTGAAGGTAGGTGGACTCGCGCCATGTTTATAAACATGAGAACTTGCGTATGTAAAAATAAAGCAGAGGTTGAAGATTCAAAGATTCACATAATGATTTATTAATATATTTAAAAATAAAAATAAAAAAGATTTACATTACACCCAATTCATATTTATTTTAATGACCAACATATAAAATTTAATTTTAACATATATCATTTTAATTATATATAAAAACATGCATTTCATTTTTTTTTTAATTAAAATAGTGATATATTTTATGTGACATGAAAGATTTGTGTGGTATAAATTAAGAAAAATAAGAGCTTAGGTGTTAGATATCTAAATAAATAAAATTGAGAGGTGTGTATGTAAACTCAATTTGTAATAATGTTTATATATATGTGTGCGCGCGCGTGTGTGTGTGATATGAGTGATTTGGGTGGTATCTTTAAAGAATAGAGATTTTGTGTTAGAAATGTTAAATAAATAAAATTAGGTGGTATTTATGTAAATGCTGGTGAACCACCGGAGCCCATTCGTCCATTCAGGGGCTGAACCATTGGCTCAACCCGATTTTGGGTGGTTCAATGTATGCTAACCTGAATCAGAACGCACCAGTTCGGTCCAATTTTCTAAACCGTGGTAAAAATCTTTTTTTTTTAGATTTTTAGTTAATGATCTAAAATTTTAAATATAGCATTTTAATCACTCAAAACTTTTGAGTTTTTCAACTGTGGATAAAAAAAGGTGGTTGTAATGAAAAACATAATTAAAATGATATATTTAAAGTTTAGATGGTTAAAATGTTATATTCAATATTTTGAGAGATTGGTATGTAAAAATAGTATTTTTTTTTTAGAGAGAGATATATAGGTGAGCCCAAATGACAATATGTGTTATTCAAATCATTCTATCGCAAGTATGTGTACTTTATCTTATGTATTTGCCTATATAATAGCACCTATGTTTTATTTTTACAGTTACGGTTGAATCTTTCATTCAACATTAAAAATTTTATTATATTAATTTCTTAAAAAGTGAATTCAATTTTGCGAAAAAATATTGCATCAGGGCTCCGCACGTAACTCACCTCATGTGGAGGTGACAAAAAAAATCGATCCGGTAACACATAGGAATATTCCTCTCGCGTTATTCTATGTTATTCAAGTGTTATTGTGTTCTGAGAATAATCCTGGTGTTATAATAATATAATAACACATCAATAACACTAGAATATTACACAATAACACCTGAATAACAAGGGAGAAATATTCTCTTGTGTTACCGAATAAATTTTTTTTTATGTCACCGTCATGTTATGTGATTTCATTGGACTTCAGACGTAACTCTACGTGCAGAGTTCTGACGCAATATTTTCTCCACTTTTGCAGGCATAGGTAAGCTCATAAAAATTGAACTTTAGGCGTGCCCATATAAATACATAGGAATTGGGTCGTATGTATGTAAATTTTACTATGTTTTATTATTACTATTATATATAAATTGAAGACTTACATGCATACCTCTCATTTAAGTATTTTCATATTCATTTAATTGGACGGGGGAATGGAGGAGGAGAAAACCACGGAATATGGTAGGTGGCGAGGTGATTGGTTGACTCCTTAAACTGCTCCAATTTTTTTCTTAATTTTTAGCACCAGACCATAATAAAAGAGATTCATGTTAGAAAATTTGCGGCGGTAGAGTAACGGATTATCATCTTAATATTGTACGAGAATTTAACACACACAAAGATGAAAGAGAAATAAACAGTGATGACTCCAGAAACCTTTACGTGCTCAACCCAATTTTGAAAATCCACTATTAATTGATGATTACAGAAATTCCTTGTCACACAGATGGGAAAGTGTGACTATATTTTTTAGGTTACAACGTCGACTGATAGCATTTGATTCGTGGTAATCAATGATGGTTAGTATGTCTAAAGTACTGGTTTATTAATTTCAACATTTAATTTAATATATTTAGGTGGTTTTAATAGGAAAATTTCTGAATTTTAAAACGTTTATACAGATCATTTTTCAAAACTGCCATCCCGTGTGGGTGGGTTTGAGTTGAAAGGAAAATTTATTATATTAATTTCTTAAAAAGTGAATTCACTTTTGCGAAAAAAATATTGTATCAGGACTCTACACATAGAGTTATGTGCGGAGTCTAATGAAATCACCTCATGTGGAAGTGATAAAAAAAAATCGGTCTGGTAACACAGGAGAATATTCCTCCTGCGTTATTTCATGTTATTCAGATATTATTATATGTTATTCACGTGTTGTTGTATTCTGGGAATAGTCCCGGTGTTATAATAATATAATAACACATCAATAACACTTGATCAACACACAATAACACTTGAATAACATACAATAACACCTGAATATCGATGAAAGAATGTTCTCTTGTGTTACCGAAAAGATTTTTTTTTCTGTCACCGCCAAGTGACGTGATTTCATTGGACTCCGCACGTAACTCCACGTGTGGCGCAGAGTTCTGACGCAATATTTTCTCCACTTTTGCAGGCATAGGTAAGCTCATAAAAATTGAACTTTAGGCGTGCCCATATAAATACATAGGAATTGGGTGGTATGTATGTAAATCTTTCTATGTTTTATTATTATTATTATATATAAATTGAAGACTTACATGCATACCTCTCATTTAAGTACTTTCATATTCCTTTAATTGGACGGAGGAATGGAGGAGGAGAAAACCACGGAATATGGTAGGTGGCGAGGTGATTGGTTGACTCAGCTGCTCCAATTTTTTTCTTAATTTTTAGCACCAGTCATAATAAAAGTGATTCATGCTAGAAAATTAGAGGCGCTAAAGTAACGGACTATCTTCTTAAAGTTATATGAAAGTTTAACACATGCACAGATGAAAGAGAAACAAGCGGTGATGACTTCAGAAGTTTTTTACTTGAAAAACCCGTAAGAGAAAAACCACGAGGCCCAACCCAATTGTGAAAATCCATTGCAAAAATTCATTTTCACACATACGGGAAAGGGTAATTGTATTTTTTAGATTACAACGTCGACTGACAGCATTTGATTGGTGGTAATCGATGGCGGTTAGTATGTCTGAAGTATTAGTTTATTAATTTCAACATTTAATTTAATATATTTAGGTGGCTTTAATAGGAAAATTTCTGAATTTCAAACCCATCCCGTGTGGGTGGGTTTGAGTTGAAAGGAAAAGACATGACATAATGGATTACGTCATTCTCGTTTACATATACAAGAAATAATTAAAAAAATAAGATATAATAAGAAAATTTGAAATACAATAATACTTAAATTTATGCTGTTTATTCTTTTATTTCATTTCATTATTATATTTTTATCATAATTAAACAAAATTGTGAAGGCTCTGTTTGATTTGAAGAGAATACAGAAAAGTAAATGAAAATAAAAATAGAAAAACAATAGTAATTGAGTTGAAAATTATTTTATGCCCTCTATCCTTTTGAATGTGAATTTAGACATTTTTTTTTTCTCCGAGCATGATTAAGATATGATTGTATTGCAATGCAATGGTTTCTCATTATTCTTTATATGTACTTATGAAAGTCAGGAATGTTATTTATTTAATTTATGTAAAATTGAAGACAAGGTAAGGATATATAGGTACTTTAGTATGTTAAAACATGAGGCTTGTGTTGGTTGTATATATTCTCTATGGTGTGTAGGTGGCTTGTTGCAGGTGGGCATCGTCCCCATGTGGTGCTAAATGTTTGCTCAATGCCAACAATTGAAAACATTAGGCTATTTGGCATGAAATAGAGGTGAGCGGTTTCAAAAGTGTGTGGGGGTCTAAACAGCTTTATGAGTGGTTGAAGCGGTATTCTATTGTAAGTTATGATAAGAGCCAAAGGGGAGTGTTGTTTGTCATATTTAGTGACAAGATTGATTTCTTCACTATGTAGGAGGGAGCAGAAGTCATCTAAGCTATGAGGTTTAATTGTCTTGATCATAGCTATTTTGAAAGTTTGACAGGTTGGTGGAAGACCATCGAAAATGTGAAGGATGATATCTTCATTATCTAGGTCATAGCCAATTGTTGTTATGTTATCAACTAATGACTTGATTGTGGCCAGGGTCATAGTGCTAATTAGTTCCCATGGAGTATGGTGAGGTTTTTTTCAGTTGGATTTCTTTGGGTCTTTTGGAGGATTGCAATTTCCTTTCTAGTATTGTCCAAATTACTGAAGAATTGTGGATTTATGCCACATATGGTTGGATTGAGATGGAGATGGTGGTAGAAATTAAGTGGAAATTGTTTTGATATGAGACATGAGAAATTTGAGTGGAGCTGGGATTGAGATTATAATCATTGAAAGAGAAGTCTCTTGTTGTTGGCTTACTTGAGTTGAAGAAGATGTAGAGTTATCTATTTTGGAAGAACAGAGTTTTTTTAGCCTACAAGTGCTAATACCATGTAGAAATAAGTAGCTAAAAGAAGGTAAAAGATGAGTAAAAGGATGAAAATGTAAGTTGATACATGAAATTGCTGTGAAGCAATCAGTGTCAATCACATAAGTATTTGTATCGATCTAGTAATATATGGATAAAAGTTTGTGTATCAATCTCACAAGGAAAGTAGTCAAAATATTGCTAACACAAGAAGTTTTAGCTTACGAATTCATTGTATATAGTTTGAAGTGATCAGAGTGGTATGAAATGAATGAAAATTCTAACAGTCTTAAAAGCGAAGTAAACAAAAAATAAGAATAGAAGAAAAGGTAAAGAGCAACTTTGAGTTCTTTTGATGTGATCAGGCTCATGCCCTTATGACACCAGAATAGTATTATTTTTATGTTTTCCTCTGAGTTTCCCTGCATGATAGTTAACAACCAAAGACACAATTCTTCTTAGCCTATATAAGTCATAAGAAAAGTTGAAAATCATTTTATAATTAAGAGGGACCCTATTATGTAGCATTTTTCAGGATTTCTTGTATCCACCTTTCTATTTTGCATTTTATTAAACTTACTTTTAATAAGTGGCAACTAGA